TTTGTACTGTGGTATTACTCTTAACCCTTTTCATCCGTTGACGATAAATATTATTCTCCTGATTTGTTTGTACGGGATAAAAATATGTGGAGCAGAAATATAATATTTTTGAGAAAGATATCTAATGTCATGACGGGTTAAGATTAATTCTATTGCATGTCTCATAAACTTACACGAAGAGAAAAAATGCCTAAAACTTCTAAAGAAAATTCTTATAATAAAAATATACATAAAAAGTACATTTGAGCAAGATAAAACTAAGCTGCCGTTCAATTCTCATCTATCAAGGACAACACTGAATATATAAGTCGTTCGATTAAAATTTTTGACTCGATAAAAAACGAACTATATGAAACGTAAATCAAAATAATTCTCTATAAATGTATAAAAAAAACACTCAAAAAATGAAAAATAATGAAAAATAAACTTCTAATCAATTTATTATGATTATGAAATTGTCGATTACGCGTCGATGAAACGCGAATGAGAGAACCCAAGGAGTTCATTATAAATTTTTCGTGCTCGGATGAAAGGAGATGCGTTTATTCCAGAGTTTTGGAACCGGCGAAAGAACCTGCTCCAGAAATAAGTGTCTCTTTTCTTTCAAATTGAAACGCATGTTACACAACGACTTATCGTGCTTGTCGTCTCTTTCTATAGTCCAAGCATGCCTATCATCATTATCTCTATTATCGTACACGATATTATTGATCTGCCTATTGTTATTCAACGAAACTGGTGCCAGATTTTCTTTGTCCGGTGATTTCTTCGCTATCGCGGGAAGATCGTTTTTCTTAGCAGCAATTTCCGTCTTAGCGGTTTTCACATCGTCGAGTCTTGCCTGACACGAGTGGTTTTCACCGTTCTCGATGGACACTAGGGGACTCATTTCGACGTACAAGTCATTTTCGTTCGTCTCGAAATCATCCTTGTGATCTACAAATGTAACTTGCCGCACAAGTTTACTTACCCTGCTGCCCAAAATTGGCGAGTCCGATAAGATAGCATCTATCAGGGGAGTTTTTTTTATGGACTCTATCGCACAACACCGAACAAATTCTCTAATAGCATCTATCTCACGTTTCTCAATGTCCTGAGCAGTCAGATTGAACGGATTGGTCATCGCTGAGGAATTTCTAAGATCGTTGTTAAACAATACTTTGGTAAAGCGTGCCCGCGCCATTAAATTTTTAGGATTCAAATCTTCCCACTGAGTCTCGGTAGTGTGATAGATGTGTCGCGGTGAATTCTCTGCTGTATACCGCCTGATTTGATCTATCGTACTCACTAAGGTGCTCGCGGAGTCGCGCAACGGTTCTGTTCCAAACTTCTCGTCCGACGATGACAAATCGTCACGTTCTTCAAGTATCGTGTCCAACGCGAGCATGCCACCTCGATCATCGAATACCACCGGTTTAGCTATGTATAAACTGGCATTTTGGTCGTCCACGGTAGACGCGGAGAATGTGCTATCGCTATAAGACGACTTGTTGCCTTTAGACTCCACCAGATCATAAGTCAGAGCATCCGCATAATCGTCCTGCTTTAATATCCCTCGTGAGATCATCCCATCGGAATATTCCGAACTGTACGTCGTGCCGGTTGTGCTCGTCAAAGTGTCCCGCCGTCGATCGCGCACTACGCTATCGTCATGAATGTACGTCTCAATGTCTGTATAACCCTTCCAGCTGCGGATGCACCAAGGCGGCCGGGCGATCCCCAGTGGGCATACGTTCTCGTAGTCGTGGATCGACGTCACGCAACTCATCGTCTCGTCCTTCTGTTGCTATTGCAGAAAAATACATTTATACAAAGGGAAAGTAATTCAATATTACAATAAAATATAATAAGCACAAAATAATGAGTTTGAAATAGCAAATAAAGAAGTAATAAATTCAAGTAATATATTTTTAAACCTGCTGCTGCAGGTCCTTTGACACCTTCTCTATATCGAATATCCGGCTACTTTCCAGCAGTGTAGGAGTCGTCAACTTTTCTCTGTTCTTAATAACATCCAACGCGCCGATCACTTTACTGCAGGAATCCAACATGAGAGAATTACTCCGCTCGCAAGCATTGTCGAGGCCGCCAAGTTGATCAAGATCAATGTTCAATATATCCGGCGCGTGCCAGTCCAATTGCGGCATGATATCATGCTCGTAAATACCGCGGCGTTTTCGGGATGAATCGATGTCGGACAGACCTGGATACAGCAAACTTGGTGCACTGCTAGTAAGCGTGTTGTCCATATTGTCGTTGAATGACGACGTGACTTCGTCTTTGTACTTGGCGCCGATACGGCTATGCGGTCTTTCACACTCGGTGGAGACGCGCACAACACTTGCATTGGACTCGTTTTCCGAGTTGTAGTTGCGATTGACGATGCCCTCCTCCACGCAATCGGAGATCTGCACAATATTCGTGAGTAATGATTGTTTGTCAGTGGGCATCTCCTCGGTCCTCGGCGAGCTATCGATGGAATGATGCAGAGATACCAAGGAGCCACGATGGAACAGTTTGAAGGATTTGGATGTATCACCCTTTGTAGCTGTGGAATGCGAGTGTTCGCTGATGTTCCCGGAGATATTTGTCGACATTTTTGACGGATGAAACTTGCCGTAATACAGTGACATACTCGTCAAACCGACGAACATACCGCCGACTATCACCGTCGCGATCGCGATCATCGTCTCGCTCGCAACGGTATCTTTGAAATGCAACACGTACATGATCAGGAAAACCAGATTCTGCGCCGTGATCACCGAATAAAAGATGAGCACGCGATAACGTGATCTGCCTTCTCGCAGGTTAAAGAAATCAAAGCAATAGATCAATCCGATGATACAATTATAAATGCGCTCCTCCCATACAGTAGGACAAAACTCCGTCTTCTGCAGGATCACCCAGATAGTCATGAATAACCAATGCAAACCTGGAAAAGAACGTATAACTATAAAATTTTGGCACAATATATTTTATTTTAAAATATTTAAATCAATATTTATATCAATATATTTTAAACAATACATATAGGCCGAATACATGTTAACTAACAAACTACAACGCGAAACATGGCATTTCCTCGGCAAGCAGGATCTTGGTTGGTAAAGTCTTTTAATATGAAATAAATTCAATTAATTATAATATCACCAACTACGTGCCGCTTTGGTTTAGCACACTTTCAACGTAGTGGCTCTATAATAATTCGATGATCAGTATCATTGATATCGATTAAAATCCCTTTTATTATTCCCCTCACTGGAAATATATATTGCGAAAATT